GTTGCATGCGCTGGATCCGTCAAAGAATCTCGCCAGAACTTTCCGAGGACATCATTCCCCCACCGTGGTCGTCATCCCGTGAAGAAAAGCTAATTGAAATTGGAGCAGTAGGAAAACTCTTGAGATCAAATCCCTTCAAACAGTGGCAGACAACACGACCTACCCTAGACCGTCACGGAATGGGGTCGTGATATAAACAATCGAACGAATTTAACGAAGTCTATTCTGATTATCTAAAAAAATGATATAAAGAAGATGTCTCTACAGTGTATTTAAGAGTTTTCAGTACAATGATAATTTACCGGGGTAATGTTAGTGTTACCTAAGATCGACATTACTTAAGTGGGTCTCCAGACCTTATTTGGGGAATCTATCTTGGTAGCCTTAAGCCCGTAACATAGACTTGTTCGTATTCTCAAGCAGAGCTCTAATAGAAGACCGAGCAGGTGCGGGTTATGTCATCTACTGAGGTCTTACGCAGGAGATTGGACGAGGATCACTCCCGCTCGGAAACTCGGCAGGAGTGTATGATGCAGAAATTGCCGGGGCCACTGAAGGTCTTGCCGCAGCTCTTCGCAACCCACTGGCCTATTATGCCTCTAACGTCACTTTCTGCCTTGACAACCAGGAGGCTTCCATACGTCTACTCTTGAATACGCCCACAGCGTCTAGCTCGGCAAAAATCCTTAACTCCCACAAGCTCGCCGTCAACTGGAGGAGATCACACGGCCAAAATACGACGCCTGGGAAAGTGGCTATCCGATGGTGCCCAGGCCACGCAGGTATTCTCGGGAACGAAGCAGCCGAAGCGCTTGCCAAAGCCGCTTGTGCGGCTCCAGCTCTACACTCAGAAAACTCCATTGCGAGGGCAAGAAGAGAAGTCAAATCTCAATATGAGGCTTCCGTAACACTTTATTGGGCAGAAAATGCTCCTTCTAGATACAAAGAACTAGGAATTGGCCTTAATACGAAAATCATCATTGAACTCACCCGTCTGGGGCGACGTACATTAGAATATCTACTAGCTGCACGGTCCGGTCACGGCGACTTCGCGGACTACCACCGACGGTTTCAGCATGAAAACGCCATTCTAACCCGCACGTGCGGAGAAGAGAAGTCCCCTAAACACTTTTTCTATTGCCACCTCGGGCAATACCAAGCTCGGCTCCACAGGGCACAGAACTCTAATTCCAGCGTATCCTGGGCACTTGCTTCGGCGAAGGTAGTTAATGCATTCAATAACTGGGTGCGTGTCACGAATTTCTTCGAAAGCGCACAGCGAAAAGTCTGATGCGAACGAGATCACGATTTAATGTAAAAAATTTCTTTCTTTTATTTTATTTTAAGATCTTTTCTTAATCTAGTAACAACTGCATAGCATGAGATTCGTTGGACGGACAAAATTCATGTATACTGTTGGAAATAGAGATACAGAGTGTTGTGGACATACGGGCCCTCCATTTTGTCTAGGTTCCCGACACGATCTTGTTTATAATTAAGAGGTTGGAATGGGTAACATGGTAGGGCTTCAGGCTACCTATTGGAAATATGAGCGGCTGTATGGTGTGGGCACAGGGAGGTTATTGGGGTTTTTCATGTCTAGATGGTGCCACATTAGGTTATGCTGTGGCTTAGGCTCTTTTTTTAATTCACAGTGTACTCAGCTATCTAGCTATGACACATTTCAAATATTCTAAATTTAAACTTTCCCCCCAAATTCATCTATTTTCCCTCAAAGCCTAATAAACTGTATCCCAATCACTTATCCTAATTTAATGGCTTAGGCTCTGTATTGGTTACAATTGTACTTTGTTTTTTCATCAGATTTTAATTGCGTATGCAGCTATCTAGCTATGACACAATACCAGAGAAGTTTTTAATAAATGACTCGATTTAAAAGTAGAACACTCATGCCTCGGATTTCATTTGCAACTACCACTACGAAGTTATGGTAGCTTTTTCTTCACTCCAAGTCAACCCTCATCCGTGAATACTCACCCAGGGGAACGTCTCAAAAACCCTGAGTTATCCAGACATGCCTCCATCATCCATTCAAATTTCTCGGCGCGAAATGTAGTCTGAGATGTCTCCTTCCCAAGTGTAATAGGTACCTAGGCTACTCAGACTATACCGTAGAATACCACCAGGAAGCGGACCACAACACCTTCCGTCGTTCGCTTGTTTTATGGTATCAGCTGCACTCTACACTTGTACTTGTAGCGCACACTTCTCACACTTTTAGCCGTGATCCGAACATGATACTCTTTTAGTCAACTTCTACTTTCGTTCCATGTATATTGCGCCCATTTCACTGCGCGATATTTCCAACATGACGAAAGCTGGGCCATGTACAGCTTTAATTGAGTGCAATGCCGTTCCGAATCACCTCGGGTTGAAGAGCCTCTACCGGCAGGCCTACGATCACCGACCCTCGAGTATGGCCATTCTTATTCTTCCATTGGTGCTACTTGCCGTCGTAGAGCCATCTTAACTTGTTGATTTGGATTCCAGAAATCCGAACATTTGTCTCCGTGCTTATTTGGTATATAATTCTACCGTTGTCGGCATTCTTTCCTCCTTGTATCATTGTCCTCAGTGAAACTCCCAAAATTTCAACAGGATAATCCTGCTTCAAGACGCAGAACTCCTTTGGCTGAGCCATGTTCAGGGCAGCGTCTCGCTGGGTGATCGACTGCACGAACACATCAGTGTCATTACTCCGCAACTGCCTTACGGCGTATGCTCCTGTCACGGAATGTGGTCGTGATCTAATCTATCGATCGAAATATACGAAGTTAATTCTGATTTACTTAAGAAATGATAATGTATGAATAACTACAGTGCGGAATAAGAGCATATGGAAAGGAAATAAATTTTTACAGGGGTACGACTAAGCGGACCCTGAGGCCAGCATTATAAGTTGGCCGCACACAGTGAATGGCAGGAGTTTGTGCACTAGATCCTGTAACAGCTCCCTCGATATGTGTTTTTGCCTTATTTAGCAGCTCTGTCGGCTGCTTTTTGTCTGCCCCTTGCATTCGTATTCTTACTGCCGCTTTAGTTGCAGGAGGTGCGACGACCGAGGCGTAAATTGGTCGCCCTCCCATTCCATGTGTCGACTGAGGAGCCATCTTGCGCACTGGCTCCTCGAGACTCTTCGCTACTGCCTTCTCTGAGGCCAGGATCCTTTCTTCCATTGGTGTCGCTTTTATTGTCAATGTAAGTGACAAGCGTGCAACTCGAGGGCTTCAATCGCACCATCTACCTCTGCTATCGGTGTCGCAGTTGGGTTAGTACCTGCTATAACCAATCTATCGCGAACCTTGTTTAAATAAAACCCTATCATTTTTAAGTAATCCATGTTAACGCCTGTAGATGTGGCGAGAGAATCTACAGCCATAATTGTGGCTGTTCCGCTGTCCGTTAGTGGTTTGGGTGGTGCCGTAAAAGATTTTCCAGCCGTGAAAACCACATTTCTGGTTCCCCAATCCGCCATGCCGAAGCGCAGCGTGAGAAAATCTGAGAATCGGATAATATGGGTCAAATAAGATAGTAGCAATTAATGAAACGATGGAATGACTTTCGTGGAACGTTGTGCAGCTTTTGACCAAATGATGATGTGACGTTAAATAACATAAGTAAATAAATATTTATTTTACATGTTCCATACATCACATCTACCGTAATGAGCCAAGTTACACTGCATAACGCAAATATAAAAACGTGAATGCAACAGCAGGTGTGATTTGTGTACTCAGGACATGTATAGAGAGACTACATCTTGTCGGAAACCTGAGAAGAAACAGATAATGAGTGAGACTTAAATTCGAGTCAAAATTCCCAACAAATCCTCAAAGTGAAGACGGTATAACTCAATCTCGACTCGACAGCAAGAGCTGGAGGTATGTAGGGGACATAACTGATAGGTGTTGAGTTTGCGTCCCCCTGGCTTATTCATTAGATAACTCCAAAAGACAATAACAAGGAACTATATAAGTAAGCAAATTAACTTTTGCCACCAGCTAAGAGTTACAAAATCTTTTCAGCAGGTATGCGGGGGAATGAGAGAGTCTAGCAACAACTCTTATATGTATCCTACATTTAAGCTATTTGTTTAATCATTAAATTTACGTCCAGCTTCTTGTCCATCAATCATGTTTGATACTTTAATTTCATGCTGAATAATTATTTTTACCCAATGAACAATGGAACTCTAGGTTAAATCTGGACAGGCTCTAACGAGTTATGACCACATTATTTGTACTAGTAGAAATATTCCTTTGGTAATCGTAATTATTCTAACAGTTAATTAGAAATAATGTGGTCTAAACTCTAATAGCTAAAAATATTATAATCTCTCAGGAATCTCGGCTGCTTGAGCCCTTAAAGAGCAAAGAGAAGAATATGTTTATGACAGCAGTTTTGTGCTTATGAATCTTCCGATAGTTCTACTTAGAACACAGTACCTGTATCACAAAAGCCAAGGTTTTTACTTATCAAACGGCTAGATGAAGGCAAACGCACAACTTTACGCAGACTTTGTCTCGCATTGAATTTTTGACCAATTTTTTCTGTTCAGCCAACACATTGAGATAGATAAAGGTGAAATATGACATGAAGTTCCCAGAAATTGCCTTTTAACGTTCTTTGGACGCATTATATTATGCTCTGTATATTTTAGGATAGCCCAAAAGTGATGCCTTGGAATAAGCACATAGTGCCATAATGGTTGCTTCAATTATGGAACAATATTTTAGTAATGAAATACTTCCGCTACCACTAAATTTTTGAAAATATAAAAGTTTGTCTTGCATACTGCAGTTGTGTCAGGAATATGGCTTGGTGCGGCATTTCTTGGTTCTATACTTTACTTTTTTGATAATTATTACAATAAATATGAGACGGTAATTGATATTGAGTTGAAAAACTTCAGGTTTATTTCTTTGTTTTAATCGGTTATTATACAAAAAAAAAGGATAAGTGTGGAATTTATTCAGGGGTTAAGTAGCTTTCAGAGATGGAGCTGCAAGTTGAGTGCCGAATACAACATCCCAAAATCGACTTGTCACACCAAAGCCATTTTCGTAGTCCATATAGTGGTGTTGTAAATGATATTTTTTTAATTCTCTCCAGTATGACGGTAGCTTTTTGTGGTGGAGGAAATAATGAGTCAGGTCATAACAAATATAGCCAAATATTCCACCGCAAAATACGGTCGTAGCAATTGACCAGTTCCAGTAGAATACGAAGTGTGAAAGTTTCCAGAAAGGTGTTGCTAATATTAAAAATAACGCAGGTGGCATTACAAGCCGCAGTTTATCCATAGGTAAGTAGTGATGTATACCATGTAGTAAGAAGTGCAAAGTTAGAGCAGCTCGGTTATCAGGCAAAAGTCTGGATAAATAGGTTAGCCTTGATTGACGAGCGAAAAATAACCATACTTATCAAGGTGAAAAAGGAATCTATGAAGGAAATATTCTATGAGTGTCCACAAAAAAAGGCCAAGGATCCAATAAGAAGTTTCTTCGATTAGACTCGAAAACCCTGTTCTAGAGATATATGTGCCATATGTGACGGGAGGCAACCAGACTATGGGAACTACCCACCAAGCTGTTTTAGAGAGAGGTTCTAAAAAGTTTCCAAATAGTGGTGCAGAGGCTCCACCTTTGTAATGACGCGGGCGATGTATCTGATCTAAGTAAAAGTCCTTGCTAAATCCACCTTTCCACATCTGCATTAGTAGAGGTTTATTTAAGTCCAAGAATTTATGTGTCCTGAAGTCGCTGTATAAGTCTGTTTCTTTCGATAAATCTTCAGCAGATGACATTCCAGTGGTCGCAAACCGGTGGGCTAGCACATCGTGGGTTTGCGTCTCTTTGTTTTCAAAATTATCAGTCGACGTATTTGGGACTTGTTTTAAATTTTTATTTGTGGCAGAGGCAGAATTCTTCTCCTCAGAGCTCACAAACCCAATCATTGAATCATCAAGAATTTCGTAAGCCGCGTCTGAATGCTTGTGCAAACCTGCATTCCCAAGAATGTCAGTGACATCTTTCCCTGCAAACTCCAAGATGAGTTCTGCGCCACCAGGATGGCTGTCAAGAAAGTCCGTGATGTCGCATACTTTAGATTCGTATATAACGTAGCAGCTTTTTGTTGTGTTGTGAAAACCAACTTCTGCCTGTAGGTATGATGGCATGGTACGCGAGGGCGACATGGCTGAATGGATTCGAACGATTGCAGTCGAAAGGAGGCCGACGAGTATTAAAGCGTTTAAATATTTGGGAATTTGTATGTGCAAGGCACAAAGAAGTTAAGGCAACAAATATTTATGTTTGATTTAGGTGAGATCCACCAGACCTAAGAACAGTGGTTCAATGCACTAGAGACGGCTGGGACAGTTGGTTACGGACGAGAAGAGTTGTTAGGCAATTGCATTGAAGTGATCTTCGGGGGCTTGTGATATTGCACGGCGCAGCAATGGTCATCACAATCAACCGCTCACAGACTCTTTGAATTTGAGCCCTATGTAATAAGCGGCCTTCGTATGACTCGTGACAGCATCCATAATGTCAGCTCAGGTGTATATCTAGCTAAACATCTAGAAGCTGGTCAATCGTATTTGCTTGTACACTTTTCTACGGATCCCTCTCCCCGCTTCGATAAGGGTTGTTAACTATTTCTGCAGATAAGGGCTTTGAATGATTTATTTATCAAATATGGGATTATTTACTCGTAAAAATGGATATGTGATCCCAATCATTCTCGTGGCGTTCTTAGTATTTGTTCCATCAGTTACTGCGTTTGGAGCAGGTAATATACCTAGTATCTCATCAATCGAGGGGTATGTTAGTTACTTAGAATAGTTTCAAGTGATTATTTGTGCTAACTAAAGCAAAGTATTAACTTCCGACATGGGGACATTGAAGATATGCTTAAGACTGTCGCGTGTATAAAGGGTCATAAATGGACCTCTATGATGATAAAACGGGTCTATTTCGGGTACGGCTCTACGCAAAACAATGTAGCTTTGAATTACTTTGCTAACTATGTGTGTGATAGGAACTGGTTGAGAGATTACTGTAAGTGTAGCAAGCTGTGAATTCTTGCAAAGTTGGTATAATTAGCGACATTTCCCTTACATTATTGCAGCACAGGCTGTAGACGTTGGAAGTTTAAAAGGCGTCTCTGCTCCAACAATCAGGATACTCGTTTGGGTGTTATCTTTTCTATCTTTTGGCTACGCTACACAGGAATTCGAGGTTACGGACGAAAGATTAGGTGTCTATCGCCCTGAAGAGCACATTGACAATCCAAAAGATTATGCCGATAATAAAGATGCTCGTCACCATGACCCACGCCTTAGAGGTCCTGTTCAAAAAGCTGAACTTGAAATCGATATGAACACGGGAATGAAGAACTATATTGCTAACGAGTATGGGGGCTGGGCAACTTCTTCTGGCTACGTCAAATTTAGCCTTTCCCGCAGCATTCATTTTGGTAGGCTCTACACTAGTGGTTCTGGAAATAGTAAAGGAAACGAGTCAGACCTTTGTGAAGCACTTAGGTGTCTAGGCCAGGCCCTACACTGCTTGGAGGTATGCTACGGCAGGTTAAACGACATGTACTAAAACTAACGTTAAGATAGGACTTTAGTGCTCACTCAAACTACGTCGAGCTCGCTCTACGAGAGATGGGCTATCGGGATGTATTTCCACACACAGGAGTTTCGACCGAATTAAATATTCAGGGCCACTATATCTATCCGCTAACAACTGGAACTTTCGGTGCCGTTGATTTCCTGCACAGTGTCAGTAAATCTCTATCTTATGCGTGTGGCCCGAAAAATAATAAATCCACAGGTCCTTGGAGAGGCAACCGATCATTTCACTCAAACCGAGGTAGATGAAATGGATTTAGTATTAAAGAATGCCGAAAAAATTCAGGATGGCGACAGTCGGAAATCTAGTCTCTTCGGCTCAGGGAGCGACTTGATCCGTCTCCTTAAAAAAGTCCCAGGCTTAGGGCTAGACCTTTCTTCGACTGCCAAAAATCTTAAATCAGCTTCAGAAGCGAAACAATTAGAAAACACAAATCGAGCCGGAGTCATGGGTGGATTTCAGTACGCACCTGAAAACTTATTCGAACCGGGTGACGAACCTTCAGGCCCATCATCAGAAGCTGATCCTATGAATATCATAAAAAAAATATATCCAATTCTAGAATTCAGAGATAAGGTGGTGAAGGCAATTAATAAAACAAGTAAGAATTATGCGTCTTCTCATTATCAACTTGCACGTCTGCCTAACGTACATAGTCGCCAAAATTCCAGGTCTTGAGTCTTTAGTTGAGCGAATCAGTGAAACTCTCACACTCTTTATACTTTCTCTATTATCTCCTTACATCAGACCAATCATTGATACAGCTTCAAAAACGCTAAAGCAAGGATCCTCAACCGTTGTGGCTGCAAGGTATAAACTTCAATCTATGATCACATGACAAAAGCTGACAGCTCAATTAGCGCAAACTCTCAGTTTGAGCCCTGGAATGATCCATACTGCACTGATCCAACACATTCGATGCTCGCAAAAGATCACTTTTCTAACAAACTTAATGGTGTAGCCGGTCGAGTTGCTAGTTCAATTCTTCAATATGTAACGCCACGGGTCCTCTATGCATGGGAAAATCCAGATTTGAATGTAGACGAGGTCACAGCAGATATTATTCGCGTATTTCATCATCCAGCTCTTCGGGATGAGTCCCTTGAGATACATCGAAATGTGGGTAAGCACACATAATTGAGTCCTAAGCTAAAGATTACTTAGATGTTCCATACTGTCCGTCAATGGGTTGATGAACAGCCTGATCGTCACAATCTGAACGAAATTCTCGGCTCTGCCTCTGTCAAAGCTGGGCGTAATCACCAACTAGTCGATGAAGCTAGAGGGCTTGAACATAACCACGGCCTCCTCGGCGGACATGGTAAGACTTCTGGTTCAATTTGGACTGAGATACAAAAGCGTGATCTAGCTGCCATGGAAGGCACAGATGGGCGCTACGCTTTCTCTGATGTACCTGAATCTGGATATGAACCTCACACAAACGACTTTCAAGGTAACGTGAATATCCAATTTCAGAATCAACCAACACCAAACAATGAATATTATCAATCACCTATGCATTCGCAGCAACCAGGGCCCCCAAATTTTCAGCCATTATATCCAAATCCTGCAGCACCTCCAGGGGGCTATTGGCCACAAATGAATCCAGGGTATAATCAACATAATCCTCATTTCCAGCCAGGAGTAACACAGACACATTGGGGGGCGAACTATCCACCAGTTTACGCTGCACCATATCCATCTGTAAACCAGCACATGTATCAAGGTCCTTATCCCGGGAGTCAGGGTGGATATCCCGACGGGAGTGGTTACGGAGCTCCACCTTGATATAGATAATACAAGATACCGCAGTGATCATCAAAGTTATTTATCTCTTGGTTCTTTGTTAAATAATTTATTTAAATTTATTTTTCAGGTCAGCCTTTTTTTTCATTTTTAAACCATGAGATAATGTTTGAGCAGTAGATCAAATAAAAGCAACAATAACTAATAAAAATATTGTTACTCATTAAATGCTCATAGAGGATTTAGCCTTTATTACCACGATGTTAGTGAGGACAAACGAACTACAAAGATCATCCAATACTCGCAAAAACAAAAGATCTTGTTGCAGATAGCTAAGATGATTCTAGTGAAGTATAGTCTCTAATTCCAACGTCTCATATCATCAAATCCCACCCGTATGCATATGGAAGAGATTTAAAAATTATTGTTTGCAAAATAAATCTTTTGATGTAGTAATTTATACATTTGGCTTCAAATAATGGGGCTTATATTGCTGATCCCTGTTCGTGTCAGAGAAAATATAGCCATGGAATTGCTGTTTTAGTAGCTCTAGGCCGAGATATTTAAGTTAGATTTGACATCTATTGACTGGGCAATTATAGAGGTTAGATAAATGTACAGTCTTACAATGAATTGACGTCCCACGCGAAAAATGCAAACAGGTGTCATACGAAGTTTTGACTGCCGTATATATACACACTTTTTAAGAGAACAAGGACCCTAAAACGCTTTCTATCCACCTATGAATATATACCTAATTTTTAATATCATAACTGATAATCTTGTCGGATTACAATTTGTTGGAAATATCGCGCAGTGAAATGGGCGCAATATACATGGAACGAAAGTATAAGTTAACTAAAAGTGTGTCATGTTCGGATTACAGCTAGAAGCGTGGGAAGTGTGCGCTACAAGTACAAGTGTAAGCGACACGTAGCCTAAGCCACAGCATAAATGGGTGTGGCGCCATCTGGGCATAGAAAAACCCCAAATAACCTCCTTGCGCCCACGCCATACAGCCGCTCATAAGTCCAATAGGTAGCCTGGAGCACTACCATATTACGTATTCCAACCTCTTCGATACACGCAAGATGGTATCAGGAAATGTTGGAAAATGAAGTATAATCTTATTAGTAACGGTTACCTTCATTACGCAAGATTTCCCAACGCAATCCCTATATCCACTATTCACACTCTAGTCCCGTCTCCCCTGTAAGATTTGTATGAACAGGTACTTGTGTGGCTCCACTTCTATAACAAGAAAACACAGCGTAATTGATCGCCCTTTCCCCACTCACTGATTTTTTTAAATACATTTTACTACGTTTTTTGCGGCCTTGATTGATACTCTTTATATATAAAACAAATAACCAATTCACTCTTCTCCGCTCTGCTTTAAGTAATCCTCTATCTACTTCAACAGGAACCTAGACGGAATGGAGGCCCCTTAGGTCCAGAACACTCTGTGTCTCCATTTCCAACACTCCTTAGTGGATCATTGAGGCCAAGTGGTGAGGTGAAGTTGGACGACTCGCGCGAGAGTGATAGGGTCCACATTTATAAGAAGTCGTCAATGATTGAAATGCTGGTGTTTGCTTTTGACTTTGATTAGGTCTCAATTTCTTTTGGCTATCACAGATACGCAGAGAGCTAGAGAACAAAAAATGTTTTGACCAACGTCCCTGAAAGATGAAAAATCTATCTTAACGGGCTTGGATTTAATCTTGTTTGCTGTGAAAGTAAAAGTATTGTATAAGGCTTTGAGTCTTTGCATTGTGAGTCAACTTCTTTGGTATTGCGAAATTTGGCTAAACTTAGCTGTGGGCGAAAACTTCACGCTAAGGTTAATAGAGCACTGACGGATAGGTGTGAAGGCTTTGTCCTCTCCACTACAATATTCATACCAGGTAGAGCATTTCCCTAATTTTTATTTCAGCTCTCTATAAACTTATGGCTCCTACTTGATTCCGGCCGAGCCGCGACGATGTTCAATGCTCATGACAACTTTTTGAAATAAAATAACCAAGGTGAAAATAATTGAAAGTCTTAAAAAAATAAATGCCTAGTTACCATTGTCGTGTTGTCTCTACACTTGGTTCTTTAAATACTCTCTTGTAGCACGAAATTTTTCTTTACTTGCTCCACTTGTTCCAAACGGTTGCCAGAATTCTCATATGCAAAACCATTCCATTTCATTCGAGGCGAAAAATAAATTACCATAGAGTTTCGCGCAGTTTTTAATTTGTTTCCTTGTAGCCGAATAGGCTGCAATGTATTCACGAGATAATTCAGAGCTGCCAGCTTCAGTCCGCCATTTTTCTAGATGTGGTTTTTTAACCATGTCATCATAGACTAACTTGTAACATGAGTAATTTTTGCTCATGTAGTCACTAAGTTGGCTTCCGTATTTTGTTTTGGAACCAATCTCAGTGATCGGATTCCACAGAGTATACGCGCTGGGTTTTATGTTACGCATGTAAGGTACAGCCTGGAAAGCCCATTTTGATTCTCGTTGGACTGTTTTCTTTTTAAAAACAAGCAGATTTCCTTGGTACCAGACGAGTGCGTTGGTTAACGATGGGCTCTTTTGATGATGTAGTAAAGCTCGTTTTGGCAGGAGATCTGACATATGTATGGGCTTGTCAGCTGTTATCAAATACTCATGACCGTTGACTACTGGAGCAAAGCATCTGTAATCCCCGTCAATTCCGACTTTTCCTTTGAAGGCCAGGCCGGCTATGGCATTCATACTACAAGAAAATTTGAGCCTGCTGTTGGACATGTAATTTTTCTCCGAAATTCTATTTATTTTTTCCATGAATTTTAGGCACCTTCTCTCCGCATTTTGATCTTCCTCTATAGAAAATAATGTCTTTAGGTAATCATCAGATTCTTGGTTTGCATCCGAAAGATCATTCTCTGTAAGTCTAGCTTCATGGTGGGAAATATAATCGTCGAATTTTCGGACAATTTCCGATTGTGTGAGCCTAAATGAGCAATATATAGTATGGTATGTGCCATGGTGCTGATATTTTGGAACTGAAGTAAATATGTGATGTTCTCGCTCGAGCAACGGAAAGGTTTTCAGACCAGGCGCCTTATGGACGCTGTAGTGATCATTACTAGGACCCATGCCGACGAGCACAAAACGGCCTACAGTGCTCAATAGAAAGGCAAACACACAGCTCATGATTGGGTTGCTCCTATGTTACCGAACAAAATTTGTTGTTGAATAAATGAACCCAAGGCTTCCCAACCTGAGCTCTTGGCGAGGCTATATCTAATTAAACCAGTTATCAAAATGCTGGCGTCTAAAGTTGAGGAAGACGATTAGTGGCTTCAGAAATTTCAATGGTGAGAACGAAATGAATATAGTGGCGCCAGAGTTGCATATAATGGGACAATATTTGGTACCATCACTTAAACAGCTGTCAATACATTTAGGATTTAACTGGAAAATTCTCTATTCAGGAACATTCAATCCCGGTGCGAAATTTGCTGGCAATATGGAACAAAACGACTCATGAGACATGCTAGCTCTATTAGATTAGAAAATGAAACTACAAAACCGAGTCAGCGAGTCACTAGTTTTTCATGATCATCGTCTCCTTCCATTGGTGCAAATCTAAGACATTTTGGAATTCATTTCTGCATTCTTGGCTCCAAGAGAATTAGAAATCGAGGTCAACTAGATCCACGGATTCGAGGACGAGCGTAGTACACCTTTCAGGGACTTTCTGAAGACGAAAATCATGGAAAGACAGAACAAGAATGCTACACGCCTGATACAGTGGGCTCTGTGGTGGCTCAAAAATTTGGGAGAAATTTCTAAAACGTTTGAGATCTATCAGGTAAGTTTAATTTATCGTGCCAGGCTTACACCCTCCATCCAATGGACGTGACACGCATGGAGGACATCTAGAATACAAGTTCCTCCATTCTCCAACAAAGCCCATCCGGTGCCTGACTTTTCCAAATACGTGCCTCACGCTAGTTACATCGGGTCGAATAGGTAGGAACGTATTCACCATGATCATAAGACCATGTATTGAGGGAAAATCTTCGTGGTAAAACCTCAATAATTCCTCCTGTACTCTTTCACGATGAGCAGCCGTAGTCTCCCATTAAACAGGCTGTTTAGGAATCCAACCTATCAATTCCAGAAAGCACATCCAGCACGCGACCAACTGTGCCAACAGCCTGTTGAAAATCACATATCCTTCTTCCCAAATTCTCCCCTGCATTGCGCTCAACCCCCATTTGAGAGGGCTGAAATTCTGAAATCGAGAGCTCAAAACCGAGGCATCGGTGCCCCAGCTTTTGTCGTACATTGTTCGTTGTCTGAGTGAGGCTTCTTCGTTCACGCCGTCTTTGGAATGTGTCGAAAAATTGAGAATGTTGATGTTGCGGTCGAGGAGCTTGTCTAAAATGAGGCCGAGCAATTACCCAGTCCTGCACACAATGTTAGTAAGGTTGAAAGCGAGAGGAATTTTACCTTTGATTTAGGAGGGTTATTGGTGAGTTGAAAAGTTCTCCCAGTCAAACTCAATCGGGAAGTTATTAGAAAACTGAATAGAAGAGACCCAAACTTGAACTTTTGATCTATCGTGCCGGGAACGGAACCTAGCCCATGTGTCAATCGAAATCGACTGGGCCACGCTCAGCAAGCTGCCGTTGCGAAGGATGCGATTCTTCTTGGCTATCCCAGATATGCAGAGCATACTGAGCGATTACACCGGCACCACTGGAAGGTGAAGAATTCGATTTTACCGGCGATCTATCCGGTAAATTTCTAGTTATATCGAAAATATCCAACTAGGTCCGAGATACTGATGTAGGGTTATAAAGATGTGGAGCCTAATCTAATTACTCTTCCTCACAAACATGGCTATTATTCTGGCGAAGAAGCATTGATGACAATATTCCGAATAATGGTATACATGTGAAGTAGTCATTCAATATTTCCATGAAAAAATATCATGAAAGCTGAATGATAGCCTAGTAATGATGTTAAGTATCCCGGCTCTGTCGCTGAACCCAGCGCTGGAACAACATGATTTGGTCAAGCTTTCAAATCAGTTCCAACCGCCGAACGAAAGGGACGTACCACTATTACATGCCAGCTCCTAGCAATCAAAATAATGGAGAAAGAGGGATGATCATCTGTCAGCTCCATTGACCACGAAACTGAAGGATAAATATTCTCCATGAGATGAGATGAGTCAAATTTCATCATACGGAGAAATTTTGCTTGCGAGGCGATGATTTAAGTTCTTTTACTACATCAATCTTTCACTCCTGATATCATCAATTGCGACCAAAAAAAATTAGGTCTAGAAGTACGGCCAAGTAAATCATCGTTTCAATGACCACACCATACCTCTTGTCGGAGGGCAAGACTGAACACCTGTACGTGGTGTCCTTTACAAACCTGGGAGTGAAATATTCTCCTAGAGCCAAGTTCAGTCAAATTTCGCAATATCGAACAAGTTGGCCCTCGAGGCAATGATTCAAAATACTCCACCACGTCAATTTTTCACTCCAAACGACATCGATTCTTACCTAAGCCTCATCCAGTCTACAAGTACGACCCAGTACATCCTCATCCCAATGACCACACCTCTGGTCGACTATTCTCTGGCCTCAGCTGGTCGCCAAATACATGCTCACGCTGATATTTACATCCGACGGAGCAAACAAAGCGTGGCGCACAAATCTGGGAGACAGTTATTTAGGATGGACGTGAGAGGGATCAGGACAAGTTCGCAAGATGATGCGACGGATGGATACAGTCTCGACGGGCGTGGAATTTTGAATTTCAGCAAGGAGTTTTTACAAATTGAGCTTCGTGCGTGCTAAGTCTTTGGTTGCGAGAGTGCAGGCGACACTATAAAAACTGCCATGGTTGGATGGTGCGGTGGTACATTGTCTTGACTGGTCTACTTAGCAAAGTCTGGATAGCTTGGACACATGTCCCATGCGAGACAGTAGATCGCAGGTTCAAAACCAGAAAATTACAACATCATTTCTCGCGGCGCTGGTATACATGGATGACGAAGGCATGCTTGGATAACCAAAGGTTTTGAAATTCCCTTTGGTGGGTACTAACGGAGGAGGGTCGACTGTTTGTGTAAGCGAACATACCTCATAGTGGTACCTGCGAGTGAAATCCAAAGTATGAGTGTCTCTAACGCCAAAAGAGTCATCCCACATGTATACATAGCACCGGTCATGTGTCATAGCTCTATAGCTGAATACACATTAAATGATTTAAAAAAAAAAAATACCTCTTGTCGACTCGATCTCTGGCCTCCAAACACATACCTTAGATAGTGTCAATACTAGCAGGTACTGTACATGGCGTAAAATCCTAGGAGGCAAATCCTTGAGACATAACTGGGAGTGACTAGGATCCATAGCCAAGTTGGTGTACAAAATGAAATTAAACTAAAAAGGGGCGAAATTTGAGTTTTAGAAACGGGCGTTTCAGATTCAACATCATGCGTTACACGACTTTGAATTTGAGAATGGAGGCGACACTATGAACAGCATCATGGTTGGATGGAACTGTGGTGCGTCATCTGGGATGAGCTTTCAAGCAGATTCTGGATTGCTTTAGCAACTATCCAGATTGAGTCGTGAGATCGTTGATTCGAATCCAGCAAGACTCGACCACATTTCTAGCGGCACTTTTTTTTTGCATCAGATTTTAATTGCGTATGCAGCTATCTAGCTATGACACAATATCAAAGAAAAGTACAGAAGAGATGAATCAATTTACAAGAGCACTCATGCCTTAGATTTTATTTGCAAGTACCACTGCGAAGTTATGGCGGCTTTTTCTTCACCCCAAGTCAACCATCATCCGTGTATATCCATCCAGGGGAACGTCTCAAAAACCCTGAGTTATCCAGACATGTCTCCATCATCTTTCAACTTTTCTCCGCGCGAAATGTAATCTGAGATATCTCCTTCCCAAGTGGAGTAGGTGCCCAGGCTACTCGGACTATACCAGAGAACATCACCAGGAGGCGGACAACAACACCTTCAATTGTTTGCTTGTGTTTACAGTGTCAGCTGCACTCTCGCAAGCGAAGTCTTGACGCGCACAAAGCCTAATTCGTAAAACTGCTTGCCAAAATTCGAAACTTCACGCCCCTCGAGGTAATATCCATCCTCAGCACCATCTTGTAAACTTGTCCCGATCCCTCCCACGTCCATCCCAAAGAGCTATCTCCCAGATTTGTGCTCCACGCTTTGTTTCCTCTGTCGGGTATAAATATCGGCGTGGGCGCGTATTTGGTGACCAGCTAAGGCCAGAGAAAGTCGACGAGAGGTGTGGTCATTGAAACGAGGATGTACTAGGTCGTACTTGTAGACTTGATGAAGCTTAGTTGAGAATCGGACTCTTTGGGAGTGAAAGATTGACATGGTGGAGTAATTTGAATTTTTGCCTCATGGGCCAACTTCTTTGGTATTGCCAAATTTGACTGAACTTGGCTCTGGGAGAATATTTCACTCCCAGGTTCGTAGAGGACACCGCGAACAAGTGTTCAGTCTTGCCCTCCTTTCTAGCGGCACTGATATGCTTGCATAGCCAAAGCTTTTCGTATTTCCCCTTGGTGAAATCCCACCGATGAGGATCCACTATTTCGTGTAAGCAAATCTACCTCGTAGTGGTATTTGCAAATGAAGTACAGAGTCTAAGTGTCTTGGATGTCAGATGAGTCATCCAACATGTACACCAATTGTTTCAATAAGTAAAAGTTAGGTGTATACACATTGAAATTGAAGTAAAATTGGCAACCTTCATAATAGGATAAAGGACTTTAGTACAATTTCCAAGGGAAAGTGAGCGTCGGCTTATCTTCTTGCGTGAGTAATCCATAATCTGACGACGTATGAGCCGACAGGATTTCTGCAGCCTATGCCATTCAAAGTAAGTCTGTGTGATTCCAGCTTTTAGATTTACATTTTTCAGGTGAAACATAGGTTCGAGGGATCGAATTGAGGGAGTCGCAGACACTTGACAGATATGGCGATGTATACGTGACTAATTTTCATTTCTGGACTATGAAAAATTCAACCTCGGACCCAACCTCATCCCAGTTTCTATTTAGGAATTGGGACAATTACAGTCTCTTAAGGATGTCAAAGATTCAATTGTCAAAATGACTGGGGTTAGATCCC